AAAAAAAAAAAAAAACATGTTGGCAGTAGTAAGTTTTTAGGCCACAGAATGGGAATACTGAAATAAGATATAAGATAATAATAATAATAATTACAGTAGTCACTACCCAGGTCTGGGTAGGCCAACTAATGCAGATAAGAGCTACCTATTTGATGTTCAGGTAGCAAAGAGATGTATTATTTATTTAGCTCCTAGTATATGTGTGACACTGTGCTAAATCCTTTACATACATTATCTCAATCCTCATTACAGCCCCTCAAAGTGGGTACTATTATTATCCCCGTAAGAAAACAGGCTCAGAGAGTTGAACCAATTTGCCCAAGATGATATGGATAAGGGCTGAAAGCAGCATTTGACCATAGATTTGACTGACTCCTAGAACAAAATTTTGCCACTATAATATAGTTCCTACTAAAAGCACATATCTAGCCATCCAGAAGAGGGGGACTGCCAGATATTTCTAGGCCTGTCTTAATCTGCTCAAATTGGAGAGAGGAAAATGGAATCTGTTAAAAGGGGCTTTTTGGTGTTGGATTTGAACAAAAGGTACCGACTCTTGTTTTTTCAAAAGTTTGGTCTATTTCTCTTTACTATTTTAAGGTTATTTAATCTTTAAATATACAGACTCAATTAAGCTCTTTCCAATCGCAGAATGTCAGAAGCAGTTATGGTTGAAGCAAGACAGCAAGCTTCTGAAAAACTGAAGGATAGTACCTGAGCAGAAAGAGAAATTATTTTCTCTCCTGAGCCCAGTTAGTCCTAGGTAGCTCTGGAGAACAGTCACTGAGGGATCACAAAGATGGGGCAGAAAACTGTCTAAGGGAACTATCTGATTTCATGTATATCCAATTGCTCAACTCTTAAGTCACAATCATCTGGCTTAGGCTTTGATGAAAATCACCAATTTAGTAATCACTAGAATCAGCAATGAAACCTTTTAGTCAGCCATACTTTACATACCAAATTATAAGCAAAATTATTTCTTTCTGGGGCTGTTGGTAAAAAGGGCAACATTTAAGAATATGGAATGTATCCTTTACTTCCTTTGTGGGACACAGTGAATTCAATACCCCTTATAGAGCTCGACAAAATGTTGAAGGTTAAGGAATTAATGCAGAGAGGAGTTTAAGGTGATACTTAGGTTAATATGATGACACTCTGTTCAGCAACGTTCACATTTGAAAGAGACAAAGCCTGACAAATCATGCAGTATTAGACTCTTGGAAAGATCAAAGGATTTCACTAGGTCTATCCATGTCCACTGCCAAAATCCACAGCAAATTTAAGAACTTGGTCTTTCTTGTTCTCTGGGACCAAGATTTAAACTGCACTGTACTAAACTGGAAAAAAAAAATTATCAGCTAACAGTGCTACATGCTAAAAAAGAATTAACTGCCACATGTGCTAAAGATTTTTTGTTAATAGTAAGTACGGCAGTAAAATTTGTGAACCCTGCTGCTTTGGGAAAACCAAAGTATTATAAACTTAGTGTGAGTAGTAAGTTTTTAGACCACAGAATGGGAATACTTTAAATTCTGGTTAAGGAACAGACTTGGTTTAAAAAAAAAAAAAAGAGATGAGGGATGTCAATGAGCCTTCTATGTAGGATGTCACACTGAGGTGGCAAAGCCAGGTTGTTTGAAATACCCTCTCACAACCTCACTTGACAGTGACAACCTTATAAAAGGAGCTCCAAATGGCTTCCTCAAATAATTTTACATTATCTGATGTAATAAACACACATACACAAACCTAACTTTCCCAATAACATTGCATGTCTCAATATATGAGGAGGAAGACTGCAAGAGGTAGAAATATCAAAGAAATCACTGAGAGATAGATACCTTTGGTCTTGTGTCTACAACATACATAAACTGGCTCCCTGGGTTTGTTTGGCTAATCGCCTCCAACAAGAGCTCATCATCTACACAGCGAGTGTAAAATCCAGAGAGAGGCTGGCTACAGCGGCAAATGGCAGCCTGTAAGGAAAAGGTGGGTCAGTTGAGTGATTATATTCACAAGAGGTCAAAAATCTTCCTTCACCCTAGCCAGGTTGCATGAGTTGAGGGAGAGGATGAGCCAACTTAAGATAGTATCCAAAGCAAACAGAAATGGGGCTCTAAAGCCATTCTCCACTGACATTGGGCTTAACCTCCTGCCTACCCCGGGCATGTGACTCTAATTTCCAACCCAATTTTGGCAAATCAGACTACAAAAAAAAAAAAAAAATCACATGTTGAACGTTTCCTTAATGAAATTCTATTCTCAATACATAATGGGCTAGTTATTTTTCTGAAATTGCTTCACTTTTTACAGTCCCAGTAATATTGTCCACATAAACCATAAGCTTGCAGAGGCAGCAGAATTCAAGATACAGCAAAGATCTATAGTGCCTTAAGAGAAAAGGGTTCACTAGTTTTAGGAGTTAATGCCAAATCAGAAGGCTGGTTTGTCTGAAGCTATTTTAACACAAAAACAAGGTGACTATTTAACATGCATGTCTGGTAATGATTAGTTAATACACTTTGATGTGGTTTTTAAGGGGTCTACTCATTTCAATAGCATGACACCCAACTGCATTATTATATTCTTTAGCATTTGAATTGCTGCCCACCAGACAACTTGACTATTTGTCTAACCCCAGATCTCAGAGTGATTACAATATTTAACACAATCCCCTTACTTATGTCAAGTGCTTTCTTACTACTACCTGAAATTATATGAAAAGCAGTAAGAAAGTATCAAGGATATCTGTATTCTACTGGGAGGCCAGCCACAGTCACAGAAAACTCTTGTCATACAACTAATTTCATTTCACAGCTTCCCACCAAGCTGGAACCCACAGAAAAGAAAAAAAAAAAAAAAGAAAAACAAATGAACCCACTAAAATACCACTTAACATCTGCATAACATTTTGCAATTTACAAGGTACACATATGTTATTCCCTCCTGAGGTCCTCTCAAAAACCTTCAGAAGTACAAAAGTCCAGAGAAGTTAAATAACTTGAGGTCACGCAGCCTCTAAGTGGCAGCATGAGACTTAAAACAGGTCTTCCAGAGCCAAGTTTAATTTCCTTAGAGAAATTTGCTTAACTTACACTGTTCTCTTTGCAGAGGTAGGAGAGCACAGGGACACGTTCTTTACTTCTGAATTTTGAACTTCCAACCACCGTTCCCAAGGTAACAGATTTAGGAACCACTATTTCACGAGGGTAGGTGCTACATATCTAAAAGAAAATAAGCACAATATATATGTTTACATTATAGATATATTTTACATTTTATACATATATACATTTTTCATTTGCTAGCAACAGGCTGGAATTAGCAATCACTAAAGCATTAGCTAGCTGATATTTAATCATCTATTCCTCAGAAATAGAAATGAAAATATCCTTGTTATACAAGTTTTTCCAAGTATGATATTATTTTCTAGAAAGGAAGGGATTGAGACATACAAGAATAAAATGAATGTACTTTTAGAATTATTGGAGCAAACAATATAGACTATAAACAAGTAAATTAATACGAACAGACTCAAATATGAGGCAGACAAGTGGAGGAGGGGGAGATATGATATACTCTATCATAAACTGCATACTAGGTTCCTAGTATTCATATCTGGAGGGCCCTTAAAATGCTAGTCTGCAAGTGGTGTTGACATTTTAGGTGTAACTTAACTCTATGAAAAGATTGATTATTTTCTCAAGTTTATCAGATTTTAGTAATTACCAAAATACATATTTCCAAAAAGACAATGATAAAATATTATAACACCACACACCTGACATTGCAAAATTAATTCTAATCACTCCCCTAAGTAAAGAACACCCCCAAACATTTAAAAACAAATACAACAAATATAAACTGAACAGGCAAAAA